AGACAGGATGTAACAGGTGGGTGTGGAAAGAGGGGTCTGATTTTCTATTTGATAGCTCTATAACCAAACATAATTGAAGGCTATAAAAATTTAAATATCAATTATTTGTTACATTTTGTTTATGTAATTGGTATAACATAAACAAAATGTAGTTGAATATAAGACACCAAAACCTTGTGCAATCGCAGTAAAGTGTACCCATGGCAATAGGATTAATCTGTACAAGGTGATGTATCCATATGTCTTTGTTTTGCCTCTCTTTTTGGTTAGTGCTACTATGACTAGCTATGAATTATTTGTGGTTACTGTTAGATAGGATTTTAAAAGGTTGGTTTGTGACAATGAGTGCCCTTGAGCTAATGTCAGTCACTTCTACTTGTTTCAAAAGTGACAGACATGGATATTTCTAAATAAAACAGTGTTCAAATCATATTTTATATTTGAGTACTAGATGATAATTCCAGGGGCTGGATTAATATTTGGTACTTTGTTTTCCAGTAGTCTCATTCTCTCTGAATGTTGATAGACCTTCCTGCCACTAGAGTTGTGCTAGATTTGATAAAGGGATTTCTCTTGCAAGCTTGTCTACTTCCTCATTTAGTTTTACCCCTACATGGCATGGCACATACATCCAGGTGATTGTTTTACCATGCATTTGCTTTACTTTCTACCATTTATGTAAATGCAACATCCATGGTTTGTAAACATGACAAAACATTTACAGATCAGATGTTTTTGCTAATGCAAAAGTTGGTATTTCATAGTGTTACGTAGACGTATTCTGGAATCAAGCTTACAATTTTGGCTGCTTGTCCTGTAGTTAAACAAGCAGAATAAATACACAGTTTCTGTTACTTTTAAACAACTGGAAGATATTTAGATGCTCTAGGTTGTCAAGAGTTCCGTTGTGTTAAATAAGGTGTAATATACAAGTTTATTATTTTAAACAGATTGTTTTATCTTCTCTACCACTTGTATGCATAATACATTTAAAGTGTTTAAATATCTGAAAACATAAAATTCCTATATCAGTATTGGCTGACGACTGTGGTAGCAAAATCACCATCCAAACTTTAAGGATTTCTTCCATTGAAATCCATAAAGACAGCTACTGAGTGTGTTCATAAGAACATTAATTCACTGTAAATAGTATTGATGTTAATCTCTCATTTCTCTAGGAGTCTCATAGAATATGATGCTGAAAGCTTTTCACAGGTCACTTTTTTATTGGAGTACAAGCACTTCTTCTTTATCTTCAGCAGTAAGTACCCCTTTAAATGATTTTTCTAGTTCAAAATTCTATATTCCCCCAAGTGTAATGTGCATTTTTTTAGCGTGACATAAAAAATATTGAATAATTTTGTTAATTCAAAAGTTGGCACATACTTTTGGGCTGCTACATTGTATTGTGGTAATTTCTAGGTTTTCTGCCCCACTATTTCCCACAAGAAAAGCCTTCGTTTATTTTCCAGTCTGTATATCATGCTTCCTCAGGCCAGCCTTATACCAGTACTTGTACCAATTATCCCTATAGTCCTCGATGGTCTGGAAGTGAAATGGCTGAAAGAGCTCGGTAAGTAATTGTACAGATGCTTGTTTCATGCATGAAGTTTATATTAAATGCCATACTTTCATAACATTTTTTTCTGCATCCAGTAGTGTTAGAGCATGTTATAGATCCTATTTTTTGGACAGGGTGATTATCTGGATCAGTTTTTATATAGTTATAGGTTAGCAGACAAAAGTTATGAGTTTCATAATGAATTGTCTAGCATGTACATCCTGTAAATAACTTCTTAAAAAGTATATTTTTGGTTTTAGTACATATGTAAGCATGTCTTGAAATTCAATAATTTTCAACATAATTACTGAAGCAGTGAGGCCTAACTGTTTACCTCTAGTAATGTGGCTTTTTTAACATTTGGATCTAGGTCCTTTATTTTGGAATATATTCCAAGTTTCCAATGGAATTCAGTGACTAACAAAAGTTAAACCTGATGGAAGAATAAAACAGCAAATCATTCAAGAACATATTGTCTGTAGATTATGAACAACTTTGTAAATATAATTGAGCATCAATAAAATCCAAAATACTGATTACTGTATGCATATAGTGTAAGTTGCAGTTTTAAAGTGTTTTCTGTACAATAATTCACTGTTGAATACTGTTTTGTTCACTTGTATGATTCCTTTTCCTACATCTAACTAAAAAAATCCAAGAATTCACAAACTCAGCCTTCTAAATCTAAATGTTTACTTATTTTGTTTTTCCTTCCACATTCAGTGAAAGTTACAGCTATGGAATAGTGAAGTGTGTATTAGTGAGAAATTTTGATAATACAATCCACCTCTTTTTAGCTCATTAACAATCATAGGTCCCAAACCAAAATCATGTTTACAAAATATCCTTGTGCAATTGTAGTCATAAAAGTGGTTACAAGAAGAGAATGTGGTGTGATCTTCCAGGCTAATCATTTACTTCAGTTGTAGTGTTGTTTTAAACATCACAGATTTGTTTAACGTGTTCTCGAACTTTGAAGAAAGCTTCAGAACAAACATCATCCAGAATTGATGCTACTGCAGCCTCACTAATGTTCTGAAAACTTCTTTCATCTGATAAGAAATAAAGTTTTTATGTACTCAAATAGTGATAATTTAAACAAAATATTTTCACTTTCATTCTTGATGTATCTATGACAACTTCCTACTACTTAAAAGTCAATGAAGATAGCCTAAAGGTTATAATATTAGGGAAAAGCCAGTAAATATTAATCCCTAGTATTTACTTAAATAAATGATACAGTAATTATTTCTGTGTTGAGACTTTTGCATTTGTAAAACATTCCCAAGGATGAATTTAAGCATTTTATTAGTAATAAGCCCTTTATATTCTAGTGGCATAATATTTGCATTCTTAAAGTGTGATAGAAATAAAATCAACCAAGTAGCATGGCTGCACACCATGAAAACAGATATTTATACAACTAAGAGTGCCTAAGCCAAAAAAAAAACTAGCTCAAACAGTAAGTGATATTTTATAAACATGGTAAAATTAAGCAACTTCACATTACTCCCACTGCATCATTTTACTCATGTGCTTTAAAACTGAATTTACATTTAAAAATTACAGTTTAAGTGCCAGAAGCTGGTGAAGCATTACAAACCCATAAGTCTAAAATTTGAACGTTCCTTTTTTCCTAACTCACTGCTTAAGGGGCAGATAAGATAGATCTGAAATGCTATTTTTACATGCCTTTGATTTTGAAATTACAAGGGATGTGGAAAAAAATTGCATATCTTAGGCCTGTTGCATTTATGTTCTCTGACCAAAACATATATAAATAATGTACATTTACTAATATTAAATGTGAGTTTTTATACCCATATATAAAATTTTATTGTGTAAGTTCTGATAATGAAGTCTGAATTACTCCCCCCACATTTGTGGTAATATGACTACATTATCAAAAATGGGTTTACCTTAAAGTAATCAAATAACACAAAAATTAATGTATCTGTTTTCTTAGAGCATAACTAAAATACATTTGTAGTTGCTTGCTATTTTCTATATCTAATAAAATATATCACCCATACAGAGGACTGGACATTTAGAAACACTAAAACAATCAACAACCTAAGTGTTTTATAAGGCAATCTTTCTTTACTCCTGTAACAGGAAGATCTCTATTCTGAAAATGCTTCTATTTTGAGTATTCATCTCTTTTTATTTTCCCAAAAGAGGGCCTAAGGCCACTTAAAAGAGTCACCTGTTTTAACCACTCGCACCACTATACAGTAGTGTGTTGTCAGCCAGCCAGCAGTAGACACTAAAATGATGCTTAATGTTGCATTTGTACTGCTGTGACATCAGTAAAATGTGCACATGCCATGAATCACAAAAAGAATTATGTACTCTGTAGGCTACAACACAGCATGATATGTGCACTTCAAAAGCAAGAAATAAAAATATTTGTTACTCTTGAAACAAAACACTTTTGTGGACCCTACAGAACTACATCTAGTTTAAGTAGAAATTTTTAGTTGTCATGGTCTGTAATGCTTCCATGATACTAAAATATCAAAGTTAAAAAACCTGCTCTGACAGAGCTTGGAACCCTTTCCTCACACTGCACCAGTAGATGGGGAATTGAACCCGTGACCCAAAGATTGAGAGTTAAATGCCCTAATCACCAGGCCCTCTTACCAACTTGTTTATCAGTACTTAAGTCCCAACCAGATATGTCATAGTAGTAAGCTTTTGCTCAGTGGACTTGCCCTTTTCAACTTACTTTTTATGGGTAGATGGCCTCCTAATTCGCAAAGAGCTGGATTAAAGGCTTCATCATTCTTTACTCCTGTAACAGAAAAAGCGTATGCAAATATAAGCATATATAATAGCAAACCAGGATTTTCAATTATTAAAATACCATAAATTTTGACATTGTTTATCCTTTTGTTAAAACTACAATTATTATGGTGTGAAAAACTTTTACCAGCTGGTGAAACATGATTATAGTTAATTATACTTGTCATAAGACATTAGTATTAGGTCTATTATATTTTTAAACTATACATTCTCTATCTAGTGCCTTAGGGATTTTCAAGAATTAAAAATGTATAATATTAGTATTAGTCATATCCATTGCCATCAATGTGTTTCCTTCAATTCAGAGGTTTTCAGTCCAGCTGAAGGAAGCAAAGGTCCCTAGAGTGAGTCCCACCCATAGATTTGCCAGAAAGAATTAGAAATGAGGTTTTGGACATGGAGACTGCAGTGTTGGCACAATCCAGCCATTTAGACAGACTCCCCAGAAGAGAGGGTGTGAGCATCATAAGGGAAAACAGAAGATTGTGGGAGATATTACATTGGATGATCAAAGTCCATTTAAAAAGCCTCATATGAGCTTGGACAAAATGTGATAATCCCTACAAGAGACAGAACCTCTCACACAGGAAGTATAGGTGATTAGATGCTCCATGTCTTAAAGACAAATGGATGGGGGAAGGTTGAGTGAAGAACTGAAAAAGACACCAAGGTGAACCAAGTATTGGGTTGGAGTAAGGAATCACTTGGAAGGTTTGACCAGCCAACTCAGATAAGCAGCTTCTTTAAGAAGTGGTGTGAGGAGCCAGTTGTCTATGGAATAATTGAAATAAATTCCAAGACTGTGGATACAGCAAGCAAATGCTCCAGTGGGGATAGCTCAAAACTAGTGCATCTGATTCCGGGGAACAATTTGAAGAAAAATGTCCGGAGGACAGGGCAATCGGAACATGTAGAAAGGTACTCGTTACATTGGCCTTGGTCATCCGAGGGAGAGGACCAACGGTGAGGAAGAAAATCCTCCATCTGGAACTGAGGAACCATTAGACAGTGGTTAAGAGAAGGTTAATGAAAGGATGCCATTTCCTGGTCTTTAGAAGATATCAAAAAGATAAGAATCAAACCTTAGAGTGGGGCAAAAGACCCTCTCAATGGCTCTCTCGACCAAATGATCCAATACCATGGTTTAAATAATAGAGCAACAATAGATACAAACTGTCTTCACATTTATGGCTGGATGACTGTTGGATTTCCTTTGTAGCTCAATACCCGTCATGTATTCGTAAATTTGTTAATAGATGAGAAAATGATCAAATATATTGAAATAAAAATATACTGAAGAGAGACTTTTCCTTATTACATACAAGGCATTGTCTTCTCTTCTAAGGAGGAAAACACAAATAATGTGAAGAGTATTTGTCACTGGTGGGCAGGCTAGCTAGAAAATGGAATCTTTTTAAATTCTGTTTTTTCCTCACTGAATATTACAAAAGTTCAAAATCGTACATGTGAAACATGCTCATTTGTTCATTTCTTGTAAAGCACAGAGCTATATAATGAGACATCTATGCTGTACCCACTTATTCAGCATTTTAAGTCTCTAGACCAGGGGCATTGGCAGAAGAGGCCAATACAAGGTCCATTTTCTTCCAAATGTCACCAAGAAGTAATGTCTAATGCACACTTTTTAGGGGTGGGGTGCAATGGTCACAAAAGGTTGGGAACCACTGATCTAGACTAACTACCGAGCTACTGGAGGCATATTCTCCAGGACTTGGTAGAAAGTTCCTATAGTATAGCAAAGGCCATTTTCTTTGGTATGCATTATATAAGCTATTCATGCAAATAAAATAAAGCTACCTGGTGCTTTAAGTTAAGTTTATGTCAACTGGAGCCTCCTCTCTACATATTTCTCTTGTTTTTATGAAACTGTTCCAAGTTGATTAACCATATTATATATATATAAAGAGATAAAAATACACTTTGCAAAATGAAACTTTCTCCTCTTTGTTGCAAGTACAGCCTTACCAAAACTAGATTTTCTTGCCCAGACAAAAATTCTAACAGCTTCATAGATTTCATATTCATCTTGCTTTCCATCAAGCCTCTGCCCTCTGGTGATTAAAATGTTATGTGCAATAGATTCATCCAAAAGATACTTAATAACTTTCATTACTGACCTGTAGTAAAAAAATAAATAAACATTACCATAATCAAGAAGAGAGATTTGATTAATGATGGTATATAAAGGTGTAAAAATGCAACATTTTAGTAACACCTAAAACAAAAATAACTAGATATGTATAGGTATGGTCTCACACAAAATAACTTTTTCAAAAGTTGGTCAAATGTTTAAAAAAACAAAACTACTAACCATGTTCTTGGGTTCAGTTTCTTTTGGATATTTATCCAAAGCGACATACATAAGGGATATCACCTATAATAATCTCAAACCTTGAACTGACATAGACTAGAGGAAAGCAGCCATTCCATAACATACACTGCTAGCTCTTTGGCTACTATAATAGAATAGTGGGCTAGCATCCTAACCACTAGGCCATGCCTAACCAATGTATACGTGCCTCGAGTCTTTTCAATAGTACTTTAGAAGTACATACATGTACTTTCACAATATTTTATAAAGAATCACTAAGTAAAATTTTTATCAATACAGAATACAAAATAAAGTTACTGCTACGAATTCTTAAAATATAGAACCTCTAACATTATCTATTATATTAATAAGAACGAAAAACATAAATAAAATGGAATAAGGTTTAGAACTACAACCTATGTAGTATTTTAAAATCAAGTTTGAGATAGCTTCATTTTTTGTTGAACCCTAGAATTATTGATAAATATAACATACTAGAGGAAAAGTTAACATTTTCATTACCTGAAAATGCATTTCCAATACATACCTCTACACACAGAAATCCATCTACCCTGTGTGTCTACTTTAGAGACGTGCATGCCACTAGCCTTTAGGAAACTCCCACCTAAACTCAAGATTTCTTGTGAATTGTGCTTTTTTTGCAGCAAAAGTCCTTCACAAACAGGAGGGTGACACAGCCTCCCTGCACACTAGCTCCCTCTATGCTTTTGCATTCATGATCTTCATTCTGTGATGAGGCAAAGAATATTAAGTTGCACTGGAAGTGTGTTAAAAGGTGAGTATCTATTGGAAATATATTTTCAGGTAAGGAAAATGTTAACTTCCGAGGCAAAACGCTTCTACACACATAAGGGTACACTCTTTGCCCAGATTGGAAGGAAGAGGTAAACAAGCCATATGTGTTGTAGGTATGGGCAGAATAAGAACATGGCTGTCTGGGTAATTGCACACAAGAGGTAAGAAAGGCAACATGTGTAGTGTGGATGGGTTCACACTACACCAGCTGCAGAAGGAGGGCACAGGAATCATTAGTGCAGGTAATTTTCAATTTTACCATCAGATGTTTGGACTGACATCAGGTGTTGGAGGAGGGAAAGGCAAATTAGTGCATGTGCAGGAGGATGGCATGATTTGTTTGTAAGTGCTCTCCTCAACTCAACTGGAGATGATTGCAGATAATCAGTGGGCGAACTCCAGTTCAAAATCATCAGCTTCTGGTATGTGTATTCCAGTCCACAGCAAGAGGAGGGTCCCAATTGTCTTCATCTCATAACCAGGAAGCAGAAAGGAAAAGTTACTTCCATTCACACAACCCAGGCAGTATACAATCAAAATTATGCCACCTAAGAACCTGACATCCGGGCAATGGTAGAAAAGAGGAAATGCAAACATGGCAGGTCAACTCTGGTCCAAAATAAGGCGGCATCAGAAATCTTACTTCCAGTCCATGGTAGGAGGAGGATCCAAACCAACCATGTGTGTGATAACTTATGTTGGCTGTTCCTAGATTGATCCAACAACAGACCACACAAGAACCAACATCTGGGTAAGGATTTCCCTTACTACACTCAAAGAAGGGGGGGGGTAAGAATTTGCAGTGAAGAGAGCTGGAGAAATTGCCTGGATCCTCATTGTTCGCCTAATGGAGAGAATGCAATGGGTGCCTGCACCAATCTATTTTGAAAAGCCTGCAAGCTAGGCTGTGCACCCCCCTAGTGCTGGCTTCTTCCATGATAGTCCATTGAATAGGTTTGGTCTGGATCATATAGTAGACAAATATCAGAATATACCATGAGGATACCTCAAGTGGTCTTGCAGAACTTCACATCTCAACAGTGGGCATTTATGAAGCCAGGGCAGATGGTATGAGGAAGATGAATCCTAGGGATAGTTACATTGATGAACATAGACAGATGAACCCTCTAGAACAACCTGGAAAAGGGAGATGTCTGACAGTAGCATTATTAGGAGGAAGTGGTGACTGATGGGCTAACATCAAAAGCCACAACCCCCACTTGGGTAGAAGGACCACAAAGAATGACACCCAGATGGGAAAGTCAGGTTCAAGAATGATAAACTGGACTAAACCAACATGAAGGTGGAAGGACAAGATCCAATTATCGGAGGAAACAAGATGTTGAAGCAACAGTGTGTAGAATTGTCAAGGGAAGCAGATTAGTTTGTCAGGTGACAGAGAAGAAAGAACCAAGGGTAAGCCAACCAAGAGAAAACAATGAAGAGGGTCACTAGTCAAGGCCAGGACCCAAGGGAAAGGCGAATGAGCATTATAACAAGTAAAAGACCAGACCTGGTGAAAAGCAACAATGGCCAGGACCAAGAGATGGAGAACAGATGAAGCATATAAGTGAGAGGGTTGACTAGGTGAATTAAGTGAACACCTCAAATGAGCACCTGAAATGGAAATTCGGGGAGAAGAGACATTCTGTGAGCAGAACACTGTTTGGCCCAGAAAGGCAGTCCACAATCTGTTCCAGTATGTGGCAGGCAGGGAAACCAACCCAATGAGAAGAGGCCAAAGAAGGAAAGTCCTGAATAAGAAAGCAAGGGGTTTTGGATTGGATCACCCAATCTAATTAAGGAAAACCAAGGAGTGGTTGGAAAGGATCCTAACGGAATTATCCACTAGGAGGAGTAATAATAGGATCATGCTAAACTTTATACAGGAAGTTCAAGTGCATGAATATGGAAAGAGGACTCTACCTGGTACAATGTGCTGAATGAGAAATAGAGAGTCAGTTATGCTCCCCAACCAGAGGGGGAAGCATATGTGAAGAGGTGTAGGTCTAGTTTGGGTGGAGGTAATGGAACACAGATGGTGATAGGGAATCAATCCAACCACCCATACAAAGGTTAGAATGGAGAAAGGGATAGGAGAACCACCGGGGCCAAAAAATCTCAAGAGGCATCCCGCTGATCATGCAAAGGCAACTAAGAAGGTGTATACAAGTGCAACCAAATAAGAAATTACAAGGTCTGTTGATCACAGGCAGATGGAAGGAGGCTGATCAAAGCACAGAATGAGCTGAAAGTTCAAATTTTCCTACATTGAAAATGTATTTCCAATAGGTACTTACTTTTTCACTAATAGCACACCAGTCTATTATACCCCTTTATTTTTGTGCCATTTCATAATGTGCATATCATGTGACTAACCTCCACCACCTATACTACCTCCTCTCACTCAAAGCTAGAATTCAACACTGAAAAGTTGAAGGGGCTGACGAAGGCATGACAGTATTCAAGTAAATGGATAAGAACAGGTGTGCCAGAAGAAGAAAGTAAGGCACACTTGTGGGGTATAGCACTACTTCTGGAACTGGTATGCTCCTCTGTCAATAATAAAACTGTAATATATATATATAGGGTAGAATGTATAAGGCAGGCACCATATGCTCAAGAAAAAGAGGTATAGCACTTTGCTTTGGAGCAGTGCAGTGTAACTATTACATGAATCAGCACAGAGTGGACATACAAAATGTCTAGAATATAATCAACAACAGGCCCAAAGAAACATGTGCCAAGGGAAGAGTTCTGAGGCACATTGGAAAAAATAAAAAAAACAGGAGAAGCATCATAAATAAGTAGTGAGATGAAATTTTGTCTGACAATTCAGAATCAGCCCATTGTCAACAGATAGTGCATTATTTGTCCACATATGTAGTATATGTGATACAGTAAGGTGTCAGATAATGTGATATAGGCATAAGTGGCTAGGGCTAAAGGACTGTAACTTGTACATGAATAGTCCAAGTGCAGTCTGCCCAGGCAAAAAACTTCCAAGGGAAGCACCTTGGGATAAGTTGGATTATGCCAATTGTGATCCATCTGGGTAAAAACCACAGTGAAAGTGCCTTGCATAACTTTTAAGATCAACAAGTGTAGTATGCCCAAGCATAAAACATCCAGTGGAAGAGCTTTGCATAAGATATGGAGATCAACAAGTGCAGTCCACCTGGGCAAAAACATCCATGGGAAGCACCTTGGGATTCTATTGAGTAAGTCAAGTGTGGTCCAACTGGGGAGAAACATCCAGTGGAAGTGCCTTACATAAACATATATATTATGATTAACAAGTGTGGTCAGCCTAAGCAAAACATCCCAGGGAAGCTCCTTGGATCCAGAATAGTATGTTATTGCCTATTCAAGAATTATAACAACAACAGCTCTCTTCTTGCTAAGTGGGTACTTATAAGTTATGGGACCTCCATGGTGCACTACTCCAGTGACTAGGAACCAGAGTGGTAAGGACTCCCTATATCCACTATAAGAAAAAAGGGGGAGTCCAGAGGAATGATGTACTGGAGACTGTGCAATGGGTGTCTGTGATTACCTATTTTGAAGAGCAGACAGACCCAGATTGTAAGAATCATGGGTCACTGGGCAAAAATCCACATCTGTTTTACTCATGAAGTCCATTAGTGATGGTCCTTTATATAAAATACATCAATAGTAAAAGTACCCAGCTTCACTCGGGTTATTAGGTTGATATATTCTAGATGACTATGTCATCAATATGTGTATTCTGAACCCATTTTAGCATAAAAGCCATTGTTAGAATGCACTGGTTTATCTATATAGTACAAGTTTTTATATAAGGAACCACTTCTTTTGTATGTTTTTCACTAGCTTGCCTCATTAAAAAGAATTTACTGACATTTGATTGCCTCAACTGCACTTTTCTGCCTCTTTGTTGGTCAAGTTTGATTTCACAAAATTTATTTATTTTAATTAGTTATCAAATGTGAGGTGGGGGTGGTAGTACTT